TTGTGCTTACTGAACATGGATATCTTTTCTCTTTCCCAGACTACAAAAGTTCATAGCATTATTTTCTCAAATATATTTTCTGCCCCTGCCCTCCTTTGTTTTAATCTTTTTCTAAAACCCCTATGATATAAATGTTAGACCATTGGATGTTGTTATCCCAGAGGTTTCTATTTTTCTTTATTTGAGCATTAGATGCTTCTCTTTTAAAAATATATTTTATTGATTATGTTATTACACTTGTCCCATTTTTTTCCTCCCCTTCATTCTCCTCCACCCTGTACCCCACCTGCCACCAGCATTCTCCTAACTTAGTTCATGTCCATGGATCATACATACAAGATCCTTGCCTTCTCCATTTCCCGTACTATTCTTTACCTCCCCGTCTATATTTTACTTACCACTTATGCTACTTATTCCCTATACCTTTTCCCCTCTTTCTCCTGCTCCACTTCCCCAGTGATAACCCTCCATATGATCTCCATTTCTGTGATTCTGTTCCTGTTCCAGTTGTTTGCTTAGTTTGTTTTTGTTTTTAGGTTCAATTGTTGATAATCGTGTGTTTGTTGCCATTTTACTGATTATATTTTTGATCTTCTTTTCCTTAGATAAGTCCCTTTAACATTTCATATAACAAGGGCTTGTAGATGATCAACTCCTTTAACTTGACCTTATTAGGGAAGCACTCTATTTGCTCTTTGGTTCTAAATGATAGCCTTTGCCAGATAAAGTAATCTTGCATATAGATCCTTCCCTTTGAATACTTCTTTTTAGCCCCTTCTTGCTTGCAAGGTTTGTATGAGAAATCAGCTGATAGTCTTATGGGAACTCCATTGTAGGTAGTAACTGTCTCCTTTTTCTCTTGCAGCTTTCAAGATTCTCTTCTCTTTAATCTTGGGTAATGAAATTATGATGTGCCTTGGTGTATGTATTCTTGGGTCCAACATCTTTGGGACTCTCTGAGATTCCTGGACTTCCTAGAAGTCTATTTTCTTTGCCAGATTAGGGAATTTCTCCATTATTTGTTCAAATAATTGTTCAATTTCTTGCTCTTCCACTTCTCCTTCTGGCGCCCCTGTGATTCGGATGTTGGAATGTTTAAAGATGTCCTGGAGGTTCCTAAGCCTCTCCTCATTTTTTTTGAATTCTTCTTACTTCATTCTGTTCTGGTTGAATGTTTATTTCTTCCTTCTGCTCCAAATCGTTGATTTGAATCCTGGTTTCCTTCCCTTCATTGTTGGTTCCCTGTACATTTTTCTTTATTTCACTTTGCATAGCCTTCACTTCTTCCTCTATTTTTGTGACCATACTTAACCATTTCTGTGAGCATCCTGATTACCAGTGTTTTGAAGTCTGCATCTGATAGGTTGGCTATCTCTTCGTCAGTTAGTTGTATTTTCAGAGCTCTTATCTGCTCTTTCATTTTGGGCTACATTTTTTTGTCTAGGCCTTCGTGTTACATAGTAAGAGGCAGAGCCTTGGATATTCACCAGGGCAGGGCAGCGCAGGTGGTGCTGCTAAATGGTGGTGGGGGGGGGGGGTCAGAGAGGGAACAGTACCACTTGCTTGGCTCTTGGCTGACTTTCAGTCAAATCCCCTGTTAGCCACAAGCAAATTGGACTTTTCTGGTTCTGATTCCAAGCTGGATGGGTTTGTATACATTCTTTGACTCTGTGGGTTTCTTCAACGAAGTCTCCTATGAGGCTGGGAGTTTCTCCCACTGCCTGAAGTCAGAGCTTTTGAGGCTTTATTTCCCCATACTAGAACCCTGGGTTGCACAGTCTGTCTTGCTCCCCAGAAAGAGCAATGAAATGTACTAATGTGTTTATTGTTTACGTGGATCAGATGAAATCTGTAACAGAATATTTTACTATGAATTTAAATTCCTTAATCAAATGAGCACAGCCCAATGAGGGAAAACACAAAGATGAGAAGACTACCAAGAGGAAATCATAAAACATAAAGAGATATGAGTTGACACAATTCATTCAAGATCTAGAAGAAACCATCACAGAATTAAGCCAAAATTAAAAAAGAAAATAATGTAGACATAGAGGATAGAAATGAAAACAGTGAAGAACATTTTTAAAAGAAAGATAAAAAAACATATAGAATTTAGTATGATACAAGATCAACATAGATATACCAGCATCTCTGAAATCAACATATGATTTAAAATTGATAACATGTTAATATTGTCATTAACTAATGGATCCTTTACTAGTACACAAAATATTGGTGTGTTCTATAATTGTTGGCAACTTAGATTCAGTAAAATATGGAAATAGAGTGGTATTGTTTGGAGCTGGTGGTAGATACGCTCATGGGGGGAGGAGACTTATTAGTATATCTTTTGAAATGTGAAAATATTACTAATTCAAAACAAGCAATAAAGGATAAGTGTTTTAAATAGAAAACTAAAATTAAAAAGTGGATCTGCCCTGGCAGGGTGGCTCAGTTAGTTGGAACATTGTCCCATACACCAAAAGTTAGCAGGTTCGATACTAGCAGGTCAGGGCATCCAATCAGTGTTTCCCTTTCACATATATAAACACATTTTCAGGTGAGAATTTGAAAAATAAATCCAAAAGCTGTGAAGATAAATTTAAAAGTTGAATTGAAAAGAAGTTACGTAGTTCTACAAGGCTACTGCTAATGTTTGCTTAGGTTTTCTCTGGCAATCACTAATTTATTCTCCAACACCACCAAACCTATGGAATTCTAAATACAGACAGACCTTATCAGATCTCTTTTCCCTGAATGAGATCCCTCCTTGAAGCCTTTCTTCTACCTACTTCATTCTGCATTGGTTGCTGTGAACTTGATGCCCAGCTACTATTCCTGCTGATTCCTTTCTTCATCATGTTCTATGTCCCTTCAGCTAATCACCTGGAGCCCATTCACTTTGTTTTTCTTGACTTACTTTCTTGATTTTTTTTAGAGCACCTTTCATAACAGAGAAAAAGCACTACAGTGCCCGTATTTGGCACTTCTTATATAAGGAAAATGTATTTTACCTTTTTCAGTCTATTTTCTCACTGTTGTAAAGATTAAGTGAACTTACACTTGTTTATTGAGTCAGAAAAAACACAACTTGAAGAAATGATGTAAGAATTAGCTGACCTGGACTTTAATGCAGCTTTTTTATGATACCTGCATTAAAGTCCAGGTCAGCTAATTCTTACATCATTTCTTCAAGTTGTGTTTTTTCTGACTCTTGATAAGTGATTTTCTGTTTGTACCTGGATGTTTTAGTATTATGAGACTGGAATTTATTTATATACCTTTTGAGAGTGGTCCCACACTCAGCTACCCAGCTGAGGAAGGGAAAACATTGCCTTCTTACTGCCAATTGGGGAGTGAAGTTCAGGTTCCCTTTTTGGCCTCTTTTCATACCTCTTTAGTAGTGGGATGGAGGAGAGAGGATTTAGTCCCTCATTACAGCCTGGCAAGTGTGAAGGTCTTGATTCTCCAAAACTAGAGGAGATGGGGATGGGGTTACAAAAGCAATGTGGTGTTTCACTGGAGTATAATAGTTATTATCTACAAAATTTTCATCTTAATGACCTTTCTTGGCTCCTTGGCTAGAGAGAAAAAACTTTTGTTGAGGCTTATTTTCTCAGTGCCCTTTGACATTTCTGGCTTGCCAGCTCATTAGCACACATTCTGGGACATAAAAACGCAGAAAAGAAACAGGGAACTTACTTCTGTGTCATTCCTTGGGTCCTGAGATTCCTAGCCAAGTATGTCTACTCTTCACCTTTCACCAGCTTGTTTGTTTGTTTTATATATAGTACTCATAATCAGTACTCACTATTTTAACTATACTTAGAAGGAATAGGCAAAAATATCTATGCCATTTTTCTATAAACAAGTCCTGCCCACACTCTTAAATGATATAATAGCTAGGAGAATTTTAGATTGGAAATCTCTTTTTCTTTCTAGGTAACATCAACTTTCATCTTATAGCATTGTCTTTTTAAGTTATTTTTTTTTAAGATTTTACTTATTTATTTTTGGAGAAGAAGGGAGGGAGAAGGAATTGGAGAGAAATATCAATGTGAGGTTGCCTCACAAGCTCCCACTTGGGACCTGGCCCGCAACCCAGGCGAGGGCCCTGACTAGGAATCGAACCGGTGGCCCTTTGGTTCACAGGCTGGTACTCAGTCCACTGAACCACACCAGCCAGGGCTAAGGATACACATTTGTAAACATTGCATTTGTAGCTACTTTAGATTCCAGAAGTATCTCTTGTAAAATATACTGGAAAAATAAAGGGGTGGTGTCGCTGGTTTAGTAGGCTGGATGTGGGAAGTGGAGGGAAGTTATTTTTAATTTGTATCCTTTTGTATCTTTGCCATGTGCATGAGTTTCTTCTTTTACATCAAATAGGTATAAAGACACTACATACGAAATATGACTATAGTTGTAGTCAATAAAAAACCTAAGACATCATAGGCATTAAGGAATTCTGGGAGGAAAATGCAAAACATAATGAAAATTAATTGTTTTTTTGATGACGTGACTTTGATTTTTTTAAAAATATGCTTGGTTTTCTAAATTAATTTTATTACTGCTTATAAAAACATGGTGAGTTGGGGCAAAGGGGGCATTTTTTTTTTTATTATAAGAGAAAGTTTATTTAGAAAATTACAAGGTAATACATGTGAGCCAGCTGGGCCATGTATGCTCAGGAAACAAGCTACAGAAGCAAAAGAAGGGCTCTGGGAACTTAGGAGAGGGAAGGCAAAGGTTACACACCTAGGAGGAAGAATCGGGGAACCAGTTAAGCAGATGGGCTCCCAAGAGGGAGAGCGCCAAGGAGGGCATATTTTAAAAATTATAATTTTCTTTAAAACTTTAAAATTCAACTTTTAGAATCAACAAATATTTATTTACTTTCGCTATATTTTACAGAAAGAATTGGACAAATACCCATCCTTTGAGGTATTACAGGTTAAGTCAATGTTGTTTGCTACATTATCTTTGCTTTTGTGTTTCAGTGCCAAACCTAAGTCAGAAATTCACGTATCCATGGCCACTCCAGTCACTGTGTCCATGGAGACTGTGTCCAGTCAAAATAATGATCAGCCTACCATTGCAGTTCCTCCTACCACTCAGCAGCCTCCACCAACCATTCCAACCATGATTGCTGCAGCTAGTCCCCCATCACAACCAGCAGTAGCCCTCTCAACCAATCCTGGAGCAGTTCCCATCACTCCTCCCATCACTACCATCGCTGCTGCCAATCTGCCATCAGCAGGTGTGGGTGGCAGTCCCGCCTCAATTTTGGTTCCTCCTGTGCCTGAAATAAAAGTTAAAGAAGAAGTGGAACCAGTGGACATTATGAGGCCAGTTTCTGGTAAGTTCATTCACAGAATACTCTTTTTTTTTTCTTCCCCAAGATTTTATTTACTTTTTATTCATTCATTGATTTTTAGGGGAAGGGAGGAGAAAGAGGAGAGAAACATCAATGTAAGAGAGAAACATCAATTGGTTGCCTGTTGTGTGCATCCCTACCAGGGATCAAACCCACAAACCAGGCATGTGCCCTGACCTGAAAACCAACCACCAACCTTTTGTTTTGCAAGATGACGCCCAACCAACTGAGCCACCCAGTCAGGATCAAAATACTTTTTATTGGCAGTTCTTTCTTCCCCTTTCTTAACTCTCCTGAGAGCCAAAACTGTTTCTTCTGAGAAATACTGACTTCTCCATTCCCATTTTAAATTTACATTTTATTATTTTTTTATAAATGGAAGGTCCTTTGGAAAACTAAAACTGTTCTGCTGGTTTTACAATTAATTTTATTTTCTTAATCAAAATCAAGCAAAAGGTTGTGCCCTGGCTGGTATGGCTCAGTGCGTTGAGTGCAGCGTGCAAACCAGAGAGTGGCCAGTTCAATTCCCAGTCAGGGTACATGCCTGAGTTGTGGACCAGGTACCCAGTAGGGGACATGTGAGAGACAACCACACATTGATGTTTCTCTCTCACCCTCACTTCCCCTCTGTCTAAAAATAAATAAATAAATAAATTTTTACAAAATCATGCAAAAGGTTAACTTTTCTTTTTATAATTAATTTTATTTCTTACCAATAGCATGAACAAAATTAATTTTCCCCCAAGGATATTTATATATCCTTTAATATAGCTTCTTTGTATTCAGAAAATATTGCCATGTAAGAAATGTCAAAATACAATCATAACTAAGTACTGGTTATTTGTAATTTACTCCTTCCCAATTTCTGTTACTTTTTTATGCAATAAAGTAAGATTTATGTTGCTGAAAATATTCTTCTTGATAAACTTATATGTGATTAGTAAAATCATAAAAACATTCTTTACTCCTTTCCTCTTCTTGACTGTAAACTTCCAATTTGTGAAGGGCAGGTCACTTTGGAGGGTTTCTAAAAAATAATTTATTGTGGATTCTGATTTTTATAACTACAGAAGTAACATTCAATGTAAGAAATTTATAAAATACAGACAACATAGAAAAGGTACAACTCCAACATCTGGGAGGTTACACTCCAGCAGGGGTAATGAATAGTAAAATAAACCAGGGACAAAATATAAGGGAATGTGAGGGCTGGAGCTGTGAGCTTTAAAAGACTTCTAAAGGAAAGACCTACTGAGAAAGTTATCTTTGAGTAGAAACATTAAACAGGTAATAAGTTCTTGGAAGGGGAAAAGAGCATTTCAAACCAAGAGTAAGAGCCCTAAAACAGCAGCATGCCTGCTGTGCTCAAAGAATAGCAGTGGCACAAGTAGATGAGCTAAGTGCATAAGGAGTGGTAGAAGATAAGGTCAGAGAAACAGGGTCAAGACTATGAGAGCTTATGAGCTATTGTGAGAACATGGTCTTTGTGCACGTTGTTGGGATATGTTGGAGGGTTTTGAGCCGACAAGGGACTTGAGTTACTTTCATTTTTTACATATTGCTCTGTCTGCTATATACAGAAAAGGCTGTGGGAACAAATATGTAATTGGGGAGGCTAACTTATAGGCTAATTGCATTAATTGCAAGGAACCAAGAAGACTTCAACTAGGGTAGTCGCAGTAGAAGTGGTATGAACTGGTTGGGGTTTATTTTATTTTATTTTTTAAAACATTTTATTATTAATTTTAGATTGAGGGAAGAAGGGAGTGAGAAACAGAGGAAGAGAAACATCAGTTTGTGGTTGTCTCTTGTGCGGCCCCTATTGGGGGCCTGGTCTGCAACTCAGATATATGCCTTGACTGGCAATTGAATTAACCCTTTGGTTTGCAGGCCTGCACTCAATCCACTGAGCCACACCAGCCAGGTCATGAAGTGGTTGGATTTTTAGGTAACATTTTTAAAGTACAACTGAGAATTTCTTTCAATATTAGATGTTGAGTGTGAGAGAACAGCATCATATCAGGTCCATGACAACATTTGGGGGTTAGTTAGTGGAAGCAGGGAGTTGCCATCAGCTGAGATAGAGAAAGTTGTAGGAAGACCACATTTTATAGGACAATAGCAGGAATTCATTTTTGATATGGTAAGTTTGAGATATCTGTTAGACTTCCAGATGAAGATGTCAGGTAGGTAGTTAGATCTATGAGCCTTGCTTTGGGAATAGAAAATGGAAGTTGCAGGCATAAATTAGAGTTGTCATTAATTATGCTTAATGTTCATGTTATGTTTAATAATACATATTAATTACGTTTAAAGCCATGGGCCTGAATAAGATCATTTTCTGAGGATGGACAGGAAACAGAATCAAGCAAAGGAGACTGAATGGTAAAAGGGCTAGAGTGGTAAAAATAAAATGTGGAGTATGTCCTGGAAAACCGGGACAAAAATATTTCAGGGAAAAGGGAGTAATCAGCTGGATCACATGCTGTTGAAAGCTCAGTTAAGAGAAAGACTTGTATGAGTTCTAGGCAAGATGGTGGTGTAGGTAGAAACACTTCAGTCCCTTGCACAACTAAAAGAAATACAACAACCAATTTAAAACAATAAACAGCCAGAACTGCCAGAGTGTCAAACTGCATGGAACTCCAACCACCAAAGTAAAGAAACATTCATCCAGACTGAGAGGAGGGGCGGAAATGGCCAGCTGGTGGGACAGGATCTGCAGCAAGGGGGCAGATCATGCAGGTGTGTGAGGTGGGGGCTGTCTGACAAGGAAACTAAAGACCCAAAACTTCTGGCTGTAAAAGTCTGGGGTTGTGAAGGCTGAAGGTGTTTCCAGTCTCACAGGGGAGTTTGTTGGAGAGTCCTACAGAATCCTAGAATATACAAAAAACCCATTCACCAGGGAATCAGCACCTGAAAGGGCACAGTCCACTTTTGGGAAGTGAGGGAAATGCCAGAAAGTAGGGCTAGAGCAGAGTGAGCAAGCAAGACACATTGTTCCCTCTCTGACACCTCCCCCATAGACAGCATCACAACACAGCAAAGAGGGTTGCCCTGCCCTGGTGAATACCTAAGGCTCCGCCCCTTACAAGGTAACAGGTGCTCTAAGACAAAGAAATACGGCCCCAGTGAAATAACAGACCAAACTTCAGAAAAAGATTTAAATGATGAGAAGAGAGGCAACCTGTCTGATGCAGAGTTCAAAACACTAATAATCAGGATGCTCACAGAATTGCTTGAGCAAGGTCACAAAAATGAAATAAGAAATGAACACTACCCAAAGTGAAATAAAGGAAAATATTCAGAGAACCAACAGTGATGGGAAGGAAACTGGTACTCAAATCATCAATTTGGAGCAGAAGGAAGAAATAAACATTCAACCGGAACAGGATGAAAAAATAAGGATAGGCTTCAAAAAAATGAGGAGAGGCTTAGGATCCTCTGGGACAACACTAAACATTCCAACACTTGAATCATACGCATGTCAGAAGGAAAAAGGAAGAGGAAGAAATGGAAACTTATTTTTCCCAATCTGGCAAAGTAAATAGACTTCCAGGAAGTCCAGGAAGTTTAGAGTCCCAAAGAAGTTGGACCCAGTGAGGCACACACCAAGACACATAATTACATTACCCAAGATTAAAGAGGAGAGAATCATAAAGCAGCAAGAGGAAAGGAGACAGTTTACCTACAAAAGAGTTCCCATAAGACTATCAGCTGATTTCTCAGAAGAATCCTTGCAGGCAAGAAGGGTCTTGAAAGAAGTTTTTGAAGTCATGAAAGGCAAGGACGTGCATCCAAGATTCCTCTATCCTGCGAAGCTATCATTTAGAATGGAAGGGCAGATAGAGTGCTTCCCAGATAAAGTCAAGTTAAAGGAATTCATCATCACCAAGCTCTTATTATATGAAATGTTAAAAGGGACTTATCTAAGAAATAGAAGATAAAAAACTATGAACAATAAAATGACAACAAACTCACAACTATCAATGAGTGAACCTAAAAAACAAAAAGCAAACTAGGACATCAACAGTATCACAGAAATGGGAATCACGTGGAGGGTTAGCCATGGGGAGGATAAAGAAAGAATGGGGGGAGAGGTTTGGGAAATAAAGAAGCATAATTGGTAGGCATAAAATAGATGGAGAGATTAAGGTTAAGAATAATGTAGTAAAGAGAGAATCCAAAGAACTTACACCTACAACCCATGGATGTGAACTAAGGAGGGGTGGGAATGGTGGTGGGAGGGTGGGGTGCAAGGCAGATGGGGGAGAAAGGGGAGAAATTAAATTGGGACAACTGTAATAGCATAATCAATAAAACATACTTTTAAAAGAAGATACAGACTCATGCCCTGACCACATGTCTAAGTTGGTTAGGCGTCATCCTGGAGAACAAAGGGTCACTGGTTCAGTTTCCAGTAACGGCAGATGCCTAGGTTGCGTGTTTGGTCCCTGGTCAGGGAGCATGTGAGAGGCAACTCATCTATGTTTCTCTCCCTGTCTTTTTTCCTTCCCACTCTCAAGAAAAAAAGAAAAAGGCCAAAAAACATGACTCATGGATGGACCTAGAGCAGGGGTCTCAAACTTATTTTTACACAGGGGCCGCATCAGCCTCATGGTTGCCTTCAGAGGGCCGAATGTAGAGCTCCTCGCCCCCAGTTATGGGATAGTTACACTTATGGAGTCTTAAAATTACATTTGGCCCTTTGGAGGCAACTGCAAGGCTAATGTGGCCCCTGGTAAAAATGAGTTTTGACACCTCTGACCTAGATAAAGGGTATTAGACTAAGTGAAATAAGTCAATGAAAAACAAATATTGTATGATTTAGTGAGCATGTTAGTATGGGACAGTCAGTGTTACTTTGTATCTTCTAGCAACATTCAGCTGCATAGATGAGTTGTATAGTTGCATACTTGGAGAGTTGGATTTAACTTTTGCTTTTGTTGAGTACAGTAAAATGAGAGAAGGGACAGTGATAGAATAAAGTAAATTAAATTGATGGTAGAATTAAAACCCAATGATAGAAGAGGGATAAGTGACAGCAAAAAAAAAAAAAAAGGCAGGGATAATGATAGTTCCTAGTGGGGACTAAGGGTTGTTAAAGACTGGTTTCTAAGAGAAGTGACTTGCAAAGATAATTGGTTTTGGCTAGATAATTGAACACTTAAAATTTAGATGAGATGGCAGTATTTGGAGTGCGTGGCTGAAGTAGGGTCGAGGAAGAGGATAATGCAAGTATGTGGTAGAGTGAAAATCAGAGTTGAATGAACTTTTATTGTGATTTTTAAGTTCTCAGATGTATGATCCATAAAGCCCAAATGAATATTTCCTTCACCACTTATTTGGAGGCGGTGTACTGTGATAGTTACATAGTACAAGCTCTGAAGCCAGACTGCCTGTCTTCACTTAGCTCTGCCACTTTGGACTTACATGATTTGTGTCTTACCTTCTCATCTTTAAATTGGGGATAATAAAATAGTACCTACTAATTTAGATTATTCTTAAGGTTATATGTTTTAATAGGTTAACTTCTAGGAATTAATGCTCAAAGGCTTGAAAAATAGTGGCTTGAACATGTAAGATTTTATTGTCTCCCTTGTAGCAAATCCTGAGAGAGGCAGTCCATAAAATCATTAGGGATCCAAGCTCCAACCCTCATACAATTTGATTCAAGATAGCTGTTAGAATTGTAGCTATCACATCTCAGAGTTTCAGCATCACAATAAGAAGACAAGGAATCAAAAGCCATGCCTTCTTCTTTTAAGATAACTTCTTAAAAGTGCTATGAAACCCTTCTATTTCTATTTCATATGGCCATACCTGTCAGGGAGCCTAGTAAATAGTGTGTTTGAGCTTAGTGACAATGTGCCCATTAAAAGTGGGCCCACGTGCTGAGGAAAGTAGAAGTGAGTTATTAGGAAGCAGTTGGCAGCCTCCACCACAATTAATGTTTAGCACAGTGCTGGGGACAAAGGAAAGTTCCGTAAATGTTCCTATTTTCTACCTCCTCATTCTCATTGAATCTCAGGAAATCGGGAAGTTTTCCATTATACTTGGGTTCTCATACACGTGTGTGGTCTTTTCCCTACAACAGCCGTTCCTCCACTGGCTGCCAGCACTATGTCACCATCTCTTGCATTGCTGGCTAACAACCTGTCCATGCCCACCAGTGACCTACCACCTGGTGCTTCCCCAAGGAAAAAGCCTCGAAAGCAACAGCATGTGATTTCTACAGAAGAAGGGGATATGATGGAGACAAACAGCACTGATGATGAAAAGTCCACCACCAAGAGTCTTCTGATGAAGGCTGAGAAGCGCAAGTCTCCTCCCAAGGAGTATATTGGTAATGATTATTTGGGTTAACTATTGTCATGTGAAGCTTTCTCACTTCAGTCAAGGGTCAGTCCCTAAAGCTGTTGATGTAGTCAGGTTTCACTTATGGCTCACTTACTGGAATTGTACTTTGAGGATTGTGGCAAATATGTAATAAGCTATTTAATGTTCTTTTTCTTTCCCTTTGAATAGATGAAGAAGGTGTAAGGTATGTCCCAGTGCGTCCAAGACCTCCCATCACTTTGCTCCGTCACTATCGGAACCCCTGGAAAGCTGCTTACCACCACTTTCAGCGATACAGTGATGTCCGGGTTAAAGGTTAGCTTCCCCAAGAAACATTTAGTGTCAGTGCATGAAATTGTTCTTTTACTTATATGATGATTACAGTAGAATAGACAGAATCACAGTTTTTCCTTGCTAAGAAACCCTACATTTTTGTAATAAAAACTTAGTGCTTAACTTAGGCAAAATGTACATTTGAGTATAAAATTTAGAAAATTATCCTTTGCCTGAGAAAGCTGTGTATACTTTATTGGAAATACAGTCTAATGAATAAATGACTTTTTTTTTTTTAATTCATGTGTTACCAGCTCCTTGAGTTACCTCTTTTGCCCTCAGAATAGTTGTGGAAGGAGCTGTACTAGATTATTTGACATAATCCATAATAGATCCTAGGATGCTCAGATGTGCCTACAGCATAAGCTCCAGGAAGTTTTATTTTCCAAAAGACTGCTTTTATTTAACATATGTGTAACTCTTGGAATTGTCCAAGGCAAACCCTCAATAAATATTTTTGTTGTTGTTGAACTTAACATTTTGATAAAGCCACATGTGATAAAAATGGCTGTAGTACTTCTAAATATTTGTACAGGCAGACTGTAAGTGTCATTAATCTCAAATACAGTCATTGCACAAAGATGTATACATTTTCAAAGAGTTGGTCATATTTCCCATTCCTTCATATAAATTCTATTTGGAAACTTCTCTGAGCATTTTCTTGTAACCTCCAGATTAGTCAGAAGGTGGTACTGACTTCTAGGATCAGGGGTAAAGGTCCTGACAGTTCGTCTCAGAATGGGAGTACAGAGGTGGTGACACTTCTCGACTTTCTTCCTCATGAGTACACCCTTAGGTTTGAAAAGTGGGCAGGAATTTCGAAGATCAGAGAGTGCTGGCCTGTGGTGGAAGCAGGATATGTACTCACTAAACATCTCTTAATGCCACAGGATTCCATATCATAGTAGTAAAACAGTTAAAGGTTTCCCTGGTAACATAAAAATTTTTATTGTTTAATAGGATTTACTCTTCATAACTGTATCAAGAAAGGTAATCTGACAGCTGAAAATATTAATGATTCCTCAAGTCTTCTATTTGAATACATACATATTAATCACTTTTGCACCAAGTCTCTTGACTAGTAAGATTTAGTTGAACTGCTTTGCATAAGTTTTAAAATCATACTCATAAAAGTAAATAAACATCGAGTAGTAAAAATTGGTCTGGTAATTCACAAGTAGGAAAGAACAGAGAAGTAGGATCAAGAGGCACAGGAAACACACAGAAAACAAATAATGACACAGCAGACTTAATCTTATATATAGATAATTACCTTAAGCCTTGACTGGTGGCTCAGTTGGTTAGAGTGTTGTCCCACACACCAAAAGGTCTTAGAGTTCAGTTCCTGGTCAGGGCACAGACCTAGGTTGCAGGTGTGATCCCCAATTAGGGTGCATACTGGAGGCAACTGATTCATATTTCTCTCTTTCTCTCTCTCTTTCCCATCCTCCTCTTCCTCCTCCCTCTCCTTCCCCCTCTTTCCCTTCCCCTCTCTTTCTAAAATCAATGAATGTGTCCTCCAGTGAAGATTTTTCTTTAATTACCTTAAATGTGAATAGTCTAAACATACCAGTTAAAACACAGAATGGCAGAGTGGATAGAGAAAAAAGATCCACCTATATTCTATCTATAAGAAACTCACTTCAAATACAGTGACATACATAGATTGACAGATGGAAAAATATATGCAATGCAAAAATTTTAAAAAGTAGCTATATTAACATCAAATAAGACTTCAGAGGAAAGAAAAACTACTAGAGATAAAGAAAGGCATTGCCTACTGTTAAAAAATGTAGAGGCAACAAAAACCAAGAACTTCAAAATATACAAAGTGAAAAGAATAGAGGTGAAAGAAGAAATAGGCAAATATGCTGTGATAGTGAGAGCTTCAACACCCCATTCTGAGCAGTTATAGAAGTGCTTGTCAAAATCAGCAAGAATATAGGACTCGATACCACAAACCAGCATCTAACAAACATCTGTACAACACATGGAACACCAGCTGAAAATGCATATTGTCTCAAGTATGTACACAACATGTAAAGGTAGACAGTATCTTGCATCACAAAGCAAACCTCAGCAGATTTAAAAGAATTGTTTCTTCATTTTCCATAATGAAATCAAATTAGAAACAGTAACAGATTACCAAAAAAAAACAAAAACAAAAACCTCTAAACCATGGAAATTACACATTTCTATGTAACAGGTCAAAGAGGAAGTCTCAAGAGAAATTTTTTTAAATAGGTAAACTGAATCAAAATGAAAATAAAAAATAAAAATGTGTGAGGCAAATAAAGCTTTTGCCAGCAGAGACATTTCTAGCACTAATTGCTTGCTTTAGAAAAGAGGAAATATTTCACTCAGAGGTGCTGCCTCAAAGCTGTAAAAAGAGCAGCATAAACTCAAAGGAAACACAAGGAAGGAAGAAGTAAAGATAGCAGATGTCAGTGAAATTGAAAACAGTAAAATCAATAAAACAAAAGTCGGTTATTTGAAAAAAGATCAATAAAATTAAATCTCTAGCAAGACTTAAAAAGGATAAAAGAGGCAAATTATGAATATCAGGAATGAAACAGTATATTATTACATATTGTGCAACCATTAAAAGCAAAAGAAAATACACCCTGACTGGTGTGGCTCAATGGGTTGGGAGTAGTCCCACAAACCTGTAGGGGTCTGCAGGTTCAATTCTTGGTCAGGGCACAAGCCAGGATTGTAGGTCAGGTCCCTGATTGCGGGCTTGTGAGAGGCAGTAGATCAGTGTTTTTCTGGCAGAAACATCAATGTTTCTCTCCTTCCCTTCCTGCCTTCCCCTCTCTCTAAAAATAACTAAATCTTCTTTTAAAAAAATAAGAAAGTACTATGAACACCTTTGTGTTTATAAAATCAGTCTCTCAGATAAAATGGAACCATTCCTTCAAAAACATAAAATACCAAAACTGCTCCATAAGCAGACAATCTGAATAGTCCTTATACCATTAGGTAAGTTGAAATTATAATTTAAAAGCTTCCAAACAGAAATTTCTAGGCTAAGATACAGGGAAGTTCTACCAAATGTTTATATGAACAATCAACATAAAAATTCTTCAGTCTCTTTCAAAGTACAGAATGGAACTCTTTCAGATTCATTTTATGAAGTAAGTCTTTCCCTGACACAAAAACAAAAGCCAAAGAGAGCATAAATATGGAAAACTACAGATCAATATTTCTCATGAATATAGAAGCAAAAATACTGAACAAAATGTTAGTAAATTGAATCCAGTAATATATAAATAAAATTTTACACCTTGGTAAGTGGAATTCATTATAGCTGTACAAATCTGATTTAATACTTGAAAATTCATTAATTCACCAATTATTAATAAGCTATGTTAGTTTTCTAGGGGTACCATAACAAAGTACCAAAAACTGGAGAGCTTAAAATAATAGAAGTTTATCTCTCATAGTTGTGGAGGGTAGAAGTCCGAAATCAAGGTACCAGCAGGATAATACACTCTCTCTGAAGGTTGCCAGCAATCCTTGATAACATTTGGCCTGCAACTGCATCACTCCAATTCTGCCTCCATATCCACGTAGAGTTAGTTGTTCCCTGTGTATCCCTTCTCATAAGATATTGGTCATTGGTTTTAGGGCCCACCTTAATTGAGTGTAACTACTTCTTAACTTGATTACATCTACAAAGACCCTATTTTCAAGTAGCATCACATATTAGGTACCAAGGGTTAAGTCTTCAACTTATCTTTTTGGGGGAACACAACAAAAACGAAAGAGAAATTACAAAATCATATTGACTAATGCAGGAAAATTGACAAAACTCAACACTTTCTTATTAGAAAAACTTAAAAAATAGGGAAAGAGATTTCCTCAACTTGATTTAAAAAAAAAAAAAAAACATTTACAAAGAGCCCTGGTGGGTGTGGCTATGGATCGAGCACCGGCCTGTGAACCAAAGGGTCGCCAGTTCACTTCCCAGTCAGGGCACAGCCTGGGTTGCAGGCCAGGTCCCCCAGTGCAGGGTGTGTGAGAGGCAATCACACACTGATGTTTCTCTCCCTCTCTTTCTCCCTCTCTTCCCCTCTGTCTAAAAATAAATAAGTGAAATCCTTAAAAAAACAAAGTCTACAAAAACCTACAGCTAACACTATACTTAATGGTGAAAGGACTGAATATTGTCTACCTGAGATTAGCAAAAAGACAAGGCTGTTCTCTTTCACCACTTTAAGTGATCATAGAAGATCTAATCACACCTTAGGCAATAAAAAGAAATAAAAGGTTATACAGGTTGGAAATAAATAAAACTATCTTATCCCTATTTGCAGATGACATTATTATCTACAGAGTAAATTTCAAGGAATTCAATGAAATAAGACAAACTAGTGAGTTCAGCAAACACGGGATACAATATTCACACACAAAAATCCTTTGTAATTTTAGATACTTATAATGAATTTACAAAAACTGAAAAGAGACATACAATGTTCATGGATTATAAAACTCAGTATAAACATGTCAGTTCTACCTAGGTTAATCACTAGGTTTGATAAAGTTCCTACCAAAATCAGAGAAAGGCTTTTGTAGACATGGTAAAGCTTACTTTAAACTTTACTATATGGAAAGGTATAGAAGCTAGAATAGCTAAAATCATGAAAAATAAGAGAAATCATTCTTAGCAATATTAAAGCCTATGATTTAGCTACAGTAATCATAACAATGGTACATGTTTGTGGAGGGATAGACCTATAGATGACTGTAATAGAATAGAAAACAAATCCACACAAATATGCTAAATGCATTTTTGACCAAAGTGCAATATTAATTCAGTGGAAGAAGGTGAGTCTTTTTAACAAATAGTGCTAGATGTTCATTAGTAAAACACAAACACACACAGAGCCTTAACCTAATTATCGTATCTTAGACAAAAATTAACTCAAAAAGGATAATAGATTTAAATTTGAATGTAAACTGTAAAACTTTTAGAATAC